TACCGCGTGTCATAATCAGCGATGGAGGGACTCATTTTGTGAACCGAGTCATTGAGAGTCTACTGAAGAAATACGGGGTTCAACATCGAGTTACTACTCCTTATCACCCGCAGACTAGTGGTCAGGTCGAGATCTCTAACCGGGAGATCAAATCTATTCTGGAGAAAATCTTATCCCGATCTCGCAAAGACTGGTCACAGAAACTCGATGATGCGGTCTGGGCTTACCGAACCGCTTTCAAGACTCCTATTGGTATGACTCCTTTCCAGCTGGTATACGGGAAAGCCTGTCATCTGCCGGTTGAATTGGAACATAAGGCGTTATGGGCTATCAAAACTCTGAATTACGATCTGAAAGTTGCGGCGGAAAAGTGCATATTACAACTCCATCATCTTGAAGAAATCCGCCTAAATGCCTACGAGAATGCAAAAATTTACAAGGATCGTACTAAACGTTGGCATGATCGCCACATCATTCATCGATCTTTCCAGGTAAACGATCGTGTCCTTGTCTTCAATTCTTGACTACGTCTTTTTCTAGGTAAGCTCAAATCCTGATGGTCCGGTCCATTCGCAATCAAACATGTCGCCGACCATAGTGCAGTCAAACTTTGGGGCTCCGACGGTAAAGCGTTCAAAGTAAACGCTCAACGGGTGAAGCTATACAATCTCGACGAACCGTCTTCTGAGAGAGGCATTCTCCCTCTCTCTGATCCCTCCCCAGCTTGATACTACTACGGTCCTTGTGCTCACGACTTTAAACGAGCACGTTCGGGTTTTTCCCGAACCTGTATCCTTTTTCTGCGTATTTATTTCTTTCGCTCTTATCTATCTATTTATTTATTTATTTTCTTTATTTTATATTACCCATTTTTCCTTGCACACTCACTCTCGATACAGGGTATGTCGATCCATCCCTCTATTTACTGCTCAGGTGCACAAACCGATCGTTTCTTGATCAAGCCAAATGATCGGTTTCTTCTCATACTCGTGGAATGCTGCTCAGCGTCACGAACCGATCAGTTCTGTATGTATACAAACGATCGGTTCATACTTTCCCACGCTTATCACGTGCGAAAAGGGCGAACGGTTCTTACTTAGGAGAAACGATCGTTTCGACGGTAAGTTCAAGTGGCCCGACTGTAACCCTAACCCTCGTCTTCTTCACTTTCCCTTCGTCTCTCTCTCGCCATTTTCGCCATTTCTCCACGATTTCTACCAAAATTCGCCACCTCATTCACCAATTACCAACCCCCATCACCTCTCCTGCGTCGGGTCACTTCGCCATCTCTCTCTCTCCCTTTGATTTCGCCAATCTGTCGAACCCGGTAAGTTTTCAAACCTCATACTCTCGTGAATACCCATTTGCATGATTTTCGCTGTATTTTAGGTCGATTTCCATGCTTATTCATCCTCTGTACTTCGATTTGGGTTGATCGATTTGTCATTAGTTTGCATTTGGCCATTTCCACGCGATTTTTTTCGGTAAATCTGTAGTTTCAGGCGAGAACCGATCGTTTCGAGGTACAGAAACGATCGTTTCGGGTATGTTTCATTTCGCAAAACTACAGAGATCAGAACAGATCGGTTCGTCCTTAAACGAACCGATCGTTTCGTACATCAGAAGTCAAAATTTGCTCAGAAACTCTAACCGATCGTTTTCACTCTTTCTGAAACGATCGGTTCTGTCTTCTAACCCGACTTTTGATCACTTTTACGGTTGTTCGTCGTATCAGAACACTCGTGTCTCCATCCTTATACTTTGCTTTATTTCCATATATTCTAATCGTCGTTCTTCTCTTTTTGTGCGCAGATGGCCCCTCGTCCAAAGCGATCATGTTCTACCGCCTCCTCGAGCGCTCAACCCTCGGGAACTCAGCCCTCGGGTGCCCTACCGTCGAATACTCAATCCACAGACACCCCCGGCTCACGTTCGTTCTTCCTCAACGAATCCCGATACGTTGTCTTGGCAGAACCCACTGAATTGCGACCTGGCGCTAGCACGACCCTATATCCGGATACGGAACCCACTCGTACTCATCGCCAGTACTCGTTCATCGCCTTCCGGGACAGTGTCCAGCGCACCGTTTATGCTCGGATCGAAGAACCCTTCCTCCGACCAACCAAATTCGTCGATCCGGTGGTTGCGGACATGTACATTGAAGATCAACTCCAATTCCTCTTTGACCAAGTCGGATGGTCTCGATTATACTCCGCACATGAGAAGACCTACGCGCGGCTCACCCGGGAATTCCTATCCTCGTTCAGCTGCTATTTCCCGCGTGATCAGTCTGTCTCCGGGGCGTACATGGATTTTCGCCTACTCAACCAAGAATACCGATTGACTATGGCTCAGTTTGCAGACATCCTCTCCATCCCATTCGGCATATCAACTCAGATGCCCAACATCGACTCAGCCGATATTGCTACACCATTTTGGGAGAAGATTGCCTACGGTCCTTTCAAGGCCGGTCAGGCCAAAGCATCCTGCTTCTACCACCCCACCATCAGGTATTTCCATCAGTTCTTGGTCTGTTGCTTGTTAGCTAAACACACTGCCAGCCAGGTTTCGATGACGGACCTCGCACTCATCCAGTATGCCCTCAAGGACCTGTTCGAGGGTGACGCCTGGGATATGAACAGAGTTGATATGGCATCCTTGGTAACCCAGCACTTTATTCTTATCCTCACCATCCCTTCGACCGGACCGCAGAACATTTATGTTGGAGGCATCATCTCTATGATAGCCCGTCGGTTGCGAATCAACCTCTTCGACTGTGGTAAGGCTCTCACCGGCCCTTCTACTCTGAACGGGGCAGTTTTGGTCAACAAGGGCATTGTTCAGATTGACTTTCACCGCTACTACTGGACTCGCATATACGAAGACAAGAAGTATAGGCAGATAATGTGGCCTCAGAACATTCCGCCACTTACATTAGAGGGTCTTCTCTGTCCACCCACGTTCGAGGTCCCCATGGAGGACATGGAGGCGACAGTGCTGCCGGGTCCTGCAGACACGCACCCCGTTTCCCCCGCCGTCGACTGGCAGCCACCGCCCTATCAGAGCCCGACCATTGATGGCGTAGAGATACGCTCTTTCCAGCAGCTCTGTGATGCGGGTTACTTTGAGAGCATGGAGCACCGAGTTCGCCGCCTTGCTCACGACCAGCACGAGATCGCCACAGCCCACGCTGCATTCGGCACTCGCCTCCGCTCTATCGACGATCAGTTGTCACGGATGGATGAGCGACAGATTCAAATGGATGAGCGTCAGACTCAGCTCCACAGTTCCATGACGACATACGTGGACCAACGCCGCCACATGGATTACTACCAGATGCAGGTCCTCCAGGGTCTACAAGAGCTCCACTTAACACCGGCTGGTCGACAGCACAATGGCCATAATGTCTTTGGGAATATTGGTAAATAGATTTGAGAAACGTGTTTGGCAGAAAGAAGGAAATCTCTAGAGGTTCTAGGCGAAAGACTTAGACTCCATTACCATTAGAGTTGAAATGAATCGGGAGATCTCAAAATAGGGTAGGATTGATTTCATCCAAGCTAGCACAGTGTATGATTAGCGTTCTATTCTGTCGACTTCATTCTGATCTCAGCTGTCACTCGTTTTCCTCCCTTTTAGACTCGTTTTTCATTGACAATTTGCTCGAGACGAGCAAAGCGACAAGTCTGGGGGAATTTGATAACACGCAATATATCACGGATTTTTATATGATTCGTCCGACATATTTACCTGACTTTATGATATCTGAGATGATTAAGTGCGTGTTTAGCTTCGGTTTCGCTTTGATTTAATCTTTACAGGTACTACGCACTACGAACGGAAAAATGAGCGAAAACCATCGTTTCGCCTCTTGGACAAGAACAGAAGAATTACTCAGAAGGCGGAATCGATCGGTTCATGTTGAGAGAACCGATCGGTTCTATTTGCGGAAATTGAAGATTTGCTCAGAAATATGAACCGATCGGTTCACTATATGAAGAAACGATCGGTTCTCAGGCGAAGTTTTTGGAAACATTCCGATTTCGGCCAAAACAAAAAGAAATAAAAGGGAGAAAGCTTTGAGGTCACAGGCATTCGGAATTTTGAGGAGAATAGTCACCCAAAAGCAGAGAAAAGAGGGAAATTATCAGGAAGCAAGAGATTGGAGTAGAAGACGGAGATCACGAAGCCGAGAAATCGACTAAGAGTTTCTTCCTTATTCTATTTTACAATGTTTTGTTGTATTGATATGAACCCTGTCGTCTTGATGTGTAGCGAGTAGTCCCCTTGCTGCGGGTTAGGGATTTGCTATGTAGGGATCTGTTGTTTTTAATTCCAGACTCTGTGGATTTATTTATTCTATTCAGTTTATTGAGTTGAGATTAATGCATTTGATCTTGTTGGCCACATGATTTAATGAACTTAGGGTTTTAATTCGCATAAACATATGGGATTCTAACTTGGAAATAACTCAGTAAATAGAACAAGTATTGCATCGAGAGATGGATATTTGCCTAGGGATTATGATAGCGTTTGTTCATGCATTCAGGATTTAGACTATTGAATCGAGAGATTAGTAGGATACAGCCTGGATAGTGAGGTTAGACTCGAGAGAGTTAATTTCTATTATAGAGCTTGAATTCTCTGAATTGGATTTATGAATTACAGAGATCTACATCTTTAGAGAAGATCCTTACATGTAAAGCAATCCCGAAGCCTGCAGTGTTTACAATTCCATAGTTACAACCGACTTTAGTTATTTGCTTTGATACTTTCCACCATATTCTCATATTTTCTCTGGATCTAGACTTGGATTTGAATTGAATTCTTTGCTTAATTTTTGTCCATGTGTTCGAACCTAGCTATTACAATCGATCCGTACACTTGCGGTATTTGTTGAGTCTAGGTTATTATAACTTGATCGAATTTATTCGCCTAGATTTCTGACATCAAGTGACTTGTTTAGCAAGAAGCTTCCTTTTGTTGTCTTAGAGCTTAGGTTATCCCTCTTGACACATAAGGATGGTTCGAACTCTCGGGATCTCGTCCATGAATGCATGCTCAATTCCGGTCTTCGGCTCGCTCAAGACTTGAGACACAAATGCGTGGAATTGTTGACGCATTGCTCGAGTCTTTGATCGCGTGAGAGGCGGCTCCATCCGACGCGGGATTGGTATGGACGATGCCAAGGTACTTGTCTCCCGTGCTTGCTTGCAATGCTCCGTTCCCAGCTCCTTTCTGAGCTCCGCATCTCCTAGCTCCGCGTCTCCAAGCTCCGTGTCCGGGTCTGATCCAAGCTTCGCATCCTTGGTGATGTCCTCATCATTTCCTCCCTCTTGAGAAGATTTCGTCCTCGAAATGTTTGTACCTGCATCGAAAGGAAGTATATCAGCCACATTAAAGGAATTGGAAACATTAAACTCATTAGGTAGCTCAAGACGATAGGCGTTATCGTTAATTCGCTCTATGACTCGAAATGGCCCATCGCCTCTTGGTGACAGTTTGGACTTGCGTTTATCCGGGAAATGCTCAGGTCGGAAGTACAGCCAAACTCAATCACCTTCCTTAAATGTTACTGTCTTGCGGCCCTTGTTGGCGTGTCGTGCGTAAGATTCGGTTCGTTTTGCGATATTGTCTCTGACCTTCTGTTGTAGTTGCTTAACGAACTCGGTCTTTTTTACTCCGTCGAGATTAAGAATCTCATGGACGGGCACGACAATTAGATCAAGAGGTGTAATCGGATTGAAGCTGTACACGATATCAAACGGGGAGTGCTTCGAGGCAGAGTGTATCGCTCGATTATAAGCGAACTCTATGTGAGGGATGTGATGGGTTTCCTGGGATCTCTAGAGCGAATCATATTCCTAAGAGATCGATTCTAGGGTTTGCGCAGCGGATGTAAAATAAAAATTTAATAAACCCTAGAACCATGTTTCTATGAATCGTAGAAACGTTAGAACGCTTACCTCAATCGATCCGGGGCCTGTATTAATTGAAGAATTTGTCCGATCACGAAAGGGAGCAAGAATACCTCGCCCTCTACACGTATCCACACCTCGGGATGGATTCCAACGATTGGAACTTGCCTGCTAGGACCCGAATCAACTATTCGGTTTTGTGCTTCGGGAAAACGTGACTTCAATCACACTCTCAACCTCTTGGATCTCACCAACGTCTGTCAAAAAGTGTTCTAAAGTCGGCTCTTCGAGTCCATTGATTAATTAGGGTTTTAATCTCCTTCTTATAAGGTGATTTAACCCTAATTCGGTCTAATTTTCGAAAAGCCTGAAACCCGGAACGGACGGTCCAGAAAAGCACACGGACCGTCCGTTCCAGCATGTAGAACGGACGGTCTGCCTTAACGTGGACCGTCCGTTCCACCACGTAGAACGGACGGTCTACGTCTTAATGTGGACCGTCCGTTCCAGTCTCCAGAACGGACGGACCACGCTTCTGGACCGACGGGTCTGGATCTGGCGGACCGTCCGTTCTGGACTTTCTGGTCCGTCCGTTCCAGACCCTTCTCTCTCGGTTTTTCCATCGTTTTCTCGTGCGTTTTGTCCTTCCCTGCGTGTGTGACCCTGTAGACTCATTTGATATAGCAGTATAACCCGAAATCTCTATTTCGGATATACAAGTCATAGGCGGTCTCTAGCAAGACACTATGACTACCTATCTCGAAAAGAGTTTGTTCGTGATCTTACGAACGCCAGTGATGATTCCGGCTGATGATCCTTTTGTATCGCGATATCATATGTCAAACATAAGGGATGGACAAGCCACCTTATCTAATTCGACTGTTTTCTCGTTCACTGAGTTCGACTGTCTGAAATAGAAGACGTTCGTCTATAGTGCGGCCACACATTTCTACAGTCTCGCTCACACGAGGGGCCCTGCGATATCTCTCTCTTTTACGAGAGGTACAAATCCCTTCTTAACTATCTACAATCTAGCACATGATTCGTTTCGTACCTGATACACGCCTTTATAGTCCTCCTGTTACGCAGGACGTTTGACGTATTCAAAGCACGCAACTCCTCATGTTGGATTCCGTAGATATCTCAGGTCTTAGGATCCAATCATGGAACTGCCATATGAGATTCAAGTCATGACGCTAGTCCATGTGACAATCTCATGCGGGTCAATCCAGTATTCCGTTCTCCAACGAATACCTATGACTGTGATCGTATCCAATACCTATGATCATCTATATGATCATCAATCACACATCATACTAGTCTTAGTATATCATTATTCCCACAATGATACATGACTAGGGAGTTTAGTATTGTTCATAACAATACATGGATTTCACAACATATCTAGTATGCACAATATGTAATGAATCAAACACTTTCATAAAACTATAGAAAGTATCAATACATCAAATGTATCCAAAGAAAGCTCGCAAGCAGTACATCATAGAGCACTAAACCAACAATCTCCCACTTGCTCTAATCATGGACTGCTAAACATCTAATGCCCATATCCCTAACATGACCCTCATGCTTCGACAAAGGGAGAGGCTTTGTCAACGGATCGGCAATGTTGTTATCTGTCGACACTCTGCAAATGTGCACGTCTCCTCTGTCTATGATCTCCCTGATAAGGTGAAATCGTCTGAGTATGTGTTTGGATCATTGATGGGATGTGGGTTCTTTCGCTTGTGCGATCGCTCCATTTTTGTCCCAATACAGAGCAATGGGGTTATTAGCACTAGGAATAACACCCAAGTCACCAACAAACTTTCTGATCCAAACAGCTTCCTCCGTTCAAGCAGAAAACATAGCCAGAATGCGATCTGTAGTCATTCGGGTCTGACTGGAAACTAGCATCGGTGTAACCCTTTACAGCGAGCTCGTCTTCTGACCCACCGTACATCAAGAATACATCCTTAGTCCTTCTCAAGTACTTCAGGATATTCTTGACGGCGATCCAGTGTGACTCACCTGGATCTGACTGGTATCTACTCGTAATGCTTAACGCGTAGGATACATCCGGTCGAGTACAAAGCATGGCATACATGATCGATCCAATTGCCGAAGCATATGGAATACGATCCATGCGTTCTCGCTCATCAGGTGTCATAGGACACTAACTTTTGCAGAGAACTGTGCCACTGCTCATCGGTAAGGTTCCTTTCTTGGAATCTTGCATCTTGAACCGTTTCAAGACCTTATCGATATTAGTACTCTGACACAATCCTAACAGACGCCTCGATCTATCTCTATAGATCTTAATGCCTAAAATATAGGCCGCTTCTCCTAGGTCCTTCATAGAAAATTGCGTTCCTAGCCAAGACTTAACGTCTTGCAAGGTAGGAACGTCATTCCCTATTAAAAGAATGTCATCCACGTACAACACTAGAAATACAACTGTGCTCCCACTAGCCTTCTTGTAAACACACGGCTCGTCTTCATTTTGTGAGAAACCAAACCTTTTGATTGTCTCTTCAAAACGAAGGTTCCAGCTCTTCGAAGCCTGCTTCAGTCCATAAATGGACCTCTGAAGCTTGCACACCATCCTCGGGTTCCATGGATCGACAAAACCTTCGGGTTGTGTCATGTAAACATCCTCGGTCAAGTTCCCGTTAAGGAACGCGGTCTTGACATCCATTTGCCATATCTCATAGTCGTAATATGGGGCTATGGCAAGCAAGATCCTAATGGACTTCAGCATAACTACAGGCGAAAAGGTCTCATCATTGTCAATACCATGAATTTGACGGAATCCTTTCGCCACAAGTCGTGCCTTATGCGTGTGCACGTTGCCATCCATGTCGATCTTCTTCTTGAAGATCCACTTGCATCCGATGGATTTTATCCCTTCAGATGCATCAACCAGAGTCCCTACTTGGTTGTCTGACATGGATTGCATCTCGGACTTCATAGCCTCGCGCCATTTCTCGGAATCCGGACTCGCCATGGCCTCTGGGTATGTGGTAGGCTCGTCATGTTCTAATAACATGAGCTCCTCATTCCCAGTCACGAGAATTCCGTATCTCTCAGGCTCTTGGCAAATCCTGCCTGATCTCCGAGGTTCACTAATCGAAGGTTGAGTCACAACCGGTAGTGAAATAGGTTGAACATCTTCAACTTGTTCACTCGGCTCAGCGTCTACTTCATGCTCTCGAACTTCCTCAAGTTCGATCCTACTCCCACTGACTCTTTTGGAGACGAACTCTCGCTCCATAAAAGTCGCATTCCTGGCAATGAACACCTTGTTCTCTGCTGGAATGTAGAAGTAGTAACCTTTAGTTTCCTTAGGGTAGCCTACAAATAAACACTTATCAGATTTGGAGGATAACTTATCAGTCATCTGACGCTTCACGTAAGTGTCACAACCCCAAATTCTGACAAACGATAACGCGGGACGCTTCCCTGTCCATATCTCATATGGCGTCGTTTCAGCCGCCTTTGTTGGACTCCTATTCAGCAGGTACGCTGCGGTCTCTAAAGCATAGCCCCAAAAGGACTTCGGAAGATCTGTCTGACTCATCATAGACCGAACCATGTCTAACAGTGTTCGGTTCCTCCGTTCAGACACGCCGTTCCATTGTGGCGTTCCAGGAGGAGTTAATTGTGATACAATACCACAATCAACCAGATAGTCAGTGAACTCTTGGCTCATATACTCGCCACCACGATCCGATCGAAGTGTCTTGATCGTCTTGCCAAGCTGGTTCTATACTTCGTTTCCTGAAAGCCTTGAACATTTCAAGTGTTTCAAACTTATGTCTCATCAAATAGACATAACAGTATCGACTGAAATCATCAGTTAACGTAACAAAATACAGATAACCTCCTCTAGCTGGACAGCTCATTGGTCCGCATACATCACTATGTATCAGATCCAATAACTCTGTCGCCCTCTGTCCTTTCCC